TAATTGAAACTTTGTAGCCGTGAGAGGAGCTTAGAGCTGGCCTGGGCAAACGGGAGGAAAGCCTCCTGCTCGCTCCAGCTCTGTGGCCAGAGCCTGCTGAAAGCAGGTATCTGGGGTTTATTTACCTTCTATAATTGAAACTTTGTTGCTTTGAGTGGAGCTTAGAGCCACCGCAGCAGGCGAGAAGCTTGGCTTCCTTCATCATTCCTTCAACCAAGCCTCCTGCTTGCTCCAGCTCCGTGGCTGCCGGTCGCCATCTTGGTTGGGTTAATTTGCATATAGTCGCTCTGATTGGCTGGTGCCTGTGCCTTAAGGCATAGGGAAGGTATGGTCAATTTGCATATTTGTCTTTTATTAGTATAGATGGAAAAGCCTGGTTTTCCTCAAGCATTTAGAATTGACCAGGTTCATGGGGGATGTTAAAGGTAAACTACCAATAGAATGACATGTGGTAAACACTGGGGACAGGGACGTTGGGGACCAGTGTGGAGAGTTCTAAGAGTTCAGTGAGGTAGGAAGATTGGACATTTTAACACTTTAGTGCAGGGGTCCTCAAACTTTTTAAACAGAGGGCCAGTTCACTGTCCCTCAGACCGTTGGAGGGCCGGACTATACTTTAAAAAAACAACTATGAACAAATTCCTATGCACACAGCGGTGGCAAAAACACCCGGCGGGCTGGATAAATGTTTTCGGCGGGCTGCAGTTTGAGGACCCCTGCTTTAGTGGGTTCAGGTGCTGAAACTTCTTGTAAGTAAACCAGAGGACAGTACGTTCATTCATCTGGCTTTTCTCTTTCCTTAACAAAACGATGAATAAATATCTGAACTCTGACCATAGCTTTGCTCAGAAGTAGCCATGGGATTTACAATCGGAGGGGGGAGCAGGCAAACCCATCCATCCCTCCTTCACCTCGAAGAGCAGACAACATTCCTAATAGATAGGAGTGTTTTCTTTGCCCCTTTTGTTTCCATACTTTTATTTTAAACACATGTTGTTGTCCTTCTTGGTCAAGCATGAAGAGGTCACCTCTAAACAACTTAATAGATTTGGAGAGGGGAGCTAGAAGGTAGGGGCAGGGAGCCAGCTCTGTCTGGGGCTGGATACCAAGTCTCTGGGCTCGGGGAGTCACAGCAACAGGGAGGAATAGGGCTGCTCCCCCTCCCGGCACCCCTTCAGAGCCAGCAGCTCTCCCTGGCTTTGATTCAAATTTAGACACAGTTGAGAACCTTGAACCCTGCCAGCTAAGCTTCTAAAATAAAAAATAATCCCCTGAAATGGTCATCTGTTATCATCAGTAGCTTCATTAGCTGTGAAATGAGGTAGTTTGCCTCTCTAACCGGGTAATTCATTTTGTGCTCTTTAAAACAGCTCTTTGAGGTGGGTTTTATAAATATTTACTGCAACCATATACCAGGTACTTAGATACTAAAACATTGCTGATCTTATATTTGGTACTAAGAACAAAAATTAATTTAGGAAATATACTAAAAATTGAGAAGTCAGTCATTACCTTTTGAATGGGTCTGTACTCTTATAAGAGAGTCATTGTAGATGAGAATGTTTAGTTTAAAAGCACCCTAGAAAATAATGCTTCAGAAGTGGTTCACCAGTAGTTTTGTGAGGATTGTGTTTCTGGAGCTCGGCCACAGGTCAGTGCTCCAGTACTAAGGAAGGGGAAGGTAAAAGGGCTGTGGGAACTAACCCCCTTAGGAAACTTTTCGAAAAATCTCCTGGTAGCTTCTGCCTGGAGCTGCTGGAGAGGATGATCCATGTGTCCTTTTAGCACACCAGACAGGCAGCCAGCAGCTTCTGCCACTGAAGCAGGCTTGGAACTGGTCCCAGGGCCCCTGATAAATGTTCACAGTTTACTCCTGGTTTTGAGATACCACCTCTGATTCATTTTAGAAATTTTTCTATAATGGTCACAGCCTAAAAGCTTGGAAGATTTGGAGACTGAATTCTAGTGGACTGACATTGAGCTGTAAGAGAGAACAATGACTAAATTGTCTTTGGGTTAGATTAGGAGATTTAGTGTGGTTTTTATGTAGCTATCTTGTCAGCTGTGAAATGCCTTTGAGGTTTTGTTATGTGAGAAGAGTGAACTTCCTCATTTTGGTTTTTGAGGAGAAATGATCAAAAATTTTTGTGGGCTTAATTCTGTGAAACTGGAGAATTAAGTGTGTGCATATGGGAAGTAATAGATTAAAAAAATGACCTGTGTTATATCTGATACTGGCGGTTGGACTTGTGGCTGATAGTACCTAATAGTGAAAGTGTTTTGTCCCTACCCATATATGCAGTTTCTTAAAGGGATGAAAACTATTTGTAATGTTAGTATTGAATAAAGTAATCTGAATGCTTTTATTTAGCACTGTTTACATTTCTAAAAGAACAGTTGGCTATTTAAATGAGTTCTGTTAACAAGTTAGGTTAGCCACTACAGGGGTAAAATATTACTTCTTGGAATGCTGATTTTTGATGTCTTTTTGTAGGGAATGTAAATTTTAAATGACAAGGTCATAGCAATATTTATCTAAACTTGATTTGATTCATTCCACACGTATTTATTGAATGCTTGCCATAAGCAAACACTGTTTGGTGCTGGAGATCAGGCAGTGAGTAGGTGAGCCCTTTGAGGTTGATAGATTCCAACCTGGATGAAAACAGACTCTAGTCCATTGATACTTGGCCTGAAGAATGCAGGGCATAGAGGAACAGTGCGTGCTGGGTTTGGCCAGGGAGAGGGTGCTGCCTCACCGTCCTGTGGCTTCTGATGATTGCTGCGATGCCACAGTTCTTCTGGGGCTGAACGGGGGTCCTATCTCACTGCCTAATCCCCTGCCGATCCTTGGTGCTTCCTCTCTCTTTGAAGTTTCAACCTAGAGACCCAGCAGAGGAAGCAGCTGCTGTAGCTTTTCCAGTAGGTCCAGAGGTTATGATGGTTGTTAGACCTTTCTATGTCTTTCTGTGCTGAAGGTGTAATCATAGTCCAGAGCCACGCTGTCCTCTGGTGGTTCCAGGAGTAACACAGTGCCTTCAGGGTCCCTGCTTGCCTCAACAAAGGGCTAGCAGGGCTTGGGCCAGTGGGAGCACCTTCTAGTCCAGCCAGTTCGCCAGCAGTATCCCTTCATTCCCAGAAGGCAAAGTCAGAATACTCTTACTGTGTAATATTTGTTAGGACAGTTGCAGACTTTGAGATCCAAGTTAATACCTATTTCAGATAGGTGTATTATCAGTGTATCTTACTGGTGGAAGACGCCACTGCAATCAGGAGGCCTGTGTGTCCCACTTGGCACCTTCCTGCTCTGGAAATGTGGGCGTGCTGCGCCCCCATCATTAATTTCTCCTAAAATATGGGAAGGAGGGAGTGCTAGACGACCTCTCATGTCATGAGCCAGTCTACAGACATGTGAGAAAATGGACACTGTCATGCGGATTGGGTAGCGTCTGCAGACAGGCAGCACAGGCCCCCTTCACGCCTTTCCTTTTCCTGGTACATCCAGGGTGCTGAGGGTAGGGGTCCTGGGAAGCTGAAGAGGACTGTCTTAGGTTGTTATTTCAGATACATACAACTTAAGAAAACAGTGACAGGACGTTCTGCTCTGCAAGTGCAGACCTGCATGACATTTGGAATGCCTGTTGACAAGATGATTTAATGTATTATATTTGTGGGATGTGGATATAATTTTAGCATATTAGCTTTAGTATTCTTCTTCCATGACTCTGGGCCAATTGTTTAATTATTCTAGGGTCATATTTTATTTTTGTCTCTAAATTTCTGATAACTACTGTTGTTATCAGACCAGGACTAAGAGGTGTAGGAGACCATGTGCCCTTAGTGCAGTGATGACAAACCTATGACACGCGTGTCAGAGGTGACACGCGAACTCATTTTTTTGGTTGATTTTTCTTTGTCAAATGGCATTTAAATATACAAAATAAATATCAAAAAATATTTACTTTGTTTTACTATGGTTGCAAATATCAAAAAATTTCTAAATGTGACACAGCACCAGAGTTAAGTTAGGGTTTTTCAAAATGCTGACATGCCGAGCTCAAAAGGTTCACCATCACTGCCTTAGTGCTTCAAGTGCCCTAACTTCTCACCCAGGGTGGCAGCTGGTCCCCCAGCACAAGATGTTCTCAGGAAGAGCCCAGTGCTTCTCCCAGGCAGCTCTCTCCAGTGATGTCAT